AAACCAATCTTTTATAATCTCATTGCCTTCCCCCCAAAGAAAAATGTCTGACTCCAACACTGTACATGGGGCCCCCAAATTCAAATTTTCCCGGGGCCTCATGAAGATATAACGCGCCACTATGTCTATCCTGTGTACCCCAATTTACGTCTTTTTCGACTTACCAATTAGTACGTAAGTTCGGGGCCCCACTATATTACTAATAACTGAATTTTTGGTCAATGCTACTCTGCCTATTTCCACGTAATTTCAGACGGAGGATAAAGCTCGAACCTCACAAACAGTACGGATTATTAGTGGATGGCTGCAGTATTGCAACCGCATTGAAGGATCACCCGGAGCTATTCAGATCAGTTGCGATGACTTGCGATGCAGTAGTCTGTTGCAGGCTGACGCCGTTACAGAAAAGTGAAGTAAGTTTTCTTACAGAAAGATAGAATCAATTATTCCTTATTGCTTCATCCGTGATTTTATCCATGTACTTAGATTGTAAGTTTGATGAAGAAGGCAAAAACTGTGCCGCATACCGCTGCCATTGGCGACGGAGGAAACGACGTGTCTATGATACAGGAAGCTCACGTTGGAATAGGAATAATGGGTAAAGAGGGTCGTCAAGCGACCATGAGCTCCGATTTTGCTATAGCAAAATTCAAATACTTGAAGAAAGTTCTGCTGGTCCACGGGCATTGGTACTACTATCGAATCAGCATTCTAGCGCAATATTTCTTCTACAAGAACTTCATCTTCATCACGCCACAGTTGTTGTTCAACATGACCTGCGGCTACTCTACCCAGGTAGTGTCGAATTTTCGTAATAGACGTCACTTTTTACGTTAAATTTAGATTGAATTTTTCTGCACAATTTTCAGGCACTCTACGACGCCCTGTTCTTAATGCTCTTCAACGTAGTGTTCACATCCGTACCGATATTAGCGTACGGATTATTCGAACAAGATTACACCGCTGAGACGCTATTGCGCTACCCGTACTTGTACAAATTGTATCAGCGCAACTATTTGTTATCAGGAAGACAATTTTTCATATGGACTGCATTAGGTAGAATGATCTCGACGATTTGTTTATAAATCATTGATGAGAGACATATGTTCGACGTTACATTTGACGTTTCTTTTTCAGCCTGTTGGCACACCATTGCCATATTTTCTATGTCATACGTATACATATACATCAATCCTGTTACCCTGTATAATAACACACCGACAGAACAGTGGTCGTTCAGCACAATCGTCATTCATTTAGTTACATTAATAGCTAATCTACAGGTACATCTCGAACGAGACCCTTTCTCACGTTGAAATATTTCATGGTTCCTCATTTTCAGGTAGTGTTAAGAAGCTCGTATTGGACAGTACCTTTCACGTTAACGGTACTACTATCAGAACTGTCGTTCCTCGTGGTAGCATTCATCTATTCGCTCATGCACAAGTAAGTAACAATAAAGAGGGGTAGGGTAAATCGAGGAGTGATCGAGCACTTTTTTTAACGGTAGAATTTCGTCTATAATTAATTAAATAGAAAGCAGAGAATTTCGCTTATGATGTAGTATATTAACCCTCGTAAGACGAATGCAGGGTCATTTTGACTCAACAACGATAAAGTCAGGCGGCTCAGATTACGTTTGGTACAGGAAATACACCTATTTTATGTATCAAATGTAAATAAACAAGAAAAATATCAAATATATATACAGTGACTGTCACTTAAAATCGTACACGGTACAAAGTCATTTCCTTTGATAAAACAGACTTTTTTCCTAACATCACTTCCTTAAAAGATATTTCACTGTATTGAGATAAAACAGACACCCTATATTACATAGAGTTGGCCTACCGTTTGACTACCAGTTGGAGAATTGGGCTGCCGTTTGACTGACACTTGTAGAATCGGCCCTCCATTTGACTGACACTTGTAGAATCGGCCCTCAATTTATGTGATAAACAATTGGCAACCAAGCGGTGGCTCGCTAAAGCGATATATTATGAAATTAAATTAATCACTCAATAAGTTTTAACGTTAGATTGTTTCCTCGATATGGCCATGGTGGTCATCAGTGACTGGAGTGCCTCAAGTGTTTAGAATAATTAAAATAAAATAAATGTTGTCAACTAAAAATTTTGAACGTCATAGCTAGCTAGACATTATTTTCAATTGAAAAAAAAAATTATAAAGCATAATACTATAATCTTATGCTTAAAATAATGAATATTTTCTTTTGGCCGCCTGAGAGCAACCTGTAAATCTGACGTGACAGTGAACGTATTAATAAGTAAATGTTGTTCAACTTATGTTGTGTTTGATGTCATTTTCATCAGAAAAATCTCATCAATATGTTAAGAAAAATTTCGGGATAAAAAACGTAAAATTAAAAAAGTTGGTATTTAAATCGCTTGGTTGCCTCAACTCACGTTTCATCCTTATCTTTTATTCGCTGTCTTTGTCTTCGTTCGGCAAATTACAAAGACGGGCGCGAGGCTCGAAAACGTAGTCCCTGACTCTACAATAAGCCTGTTTAGGTTCCTTGCTGGTGGTCAATTGGAGAGACATTATTCTATAATACATATTTAAACTGGCAATTGAAAAATTACTTTCATTCGTACCTTTGAATGAAACTGATCTCGAGTCACACTCGAGAAAGAAGTCCAAAGTGTTAAATGTAACACCCTGTATGTTACATTTTTCTTTATTTTTTTAGGAGGTACGACGGAGATATGCTGAGGGTCTTTTATATCCTAGTGTCGTCTCTAACGTTCTGGCTGTTGACCATAATCGTCGTTGTCGCTTGCCTGATACCAGACTACCTAGTCATCATATACAATAATCACAGACCCACGCGAATAATGAGAAGAAACGAAGAAGTACGGCCCAGTAGAGGAAATGCTGGCAACGATAACACGGCGAACAACACACCGCTGCAGAGCAGGGTAACAATAATTATAACGTGCTCACACACACACACGTACATAAACTAACGATTATTAATCGGTACACTGACATTCATTGCAGAGTCAGCGATTGTTCAACATGATTTCGTGGAAGCAGAACTTCACGGTACGGAAGGCTGAATAGACGCGGAGAACTTTTGTTCGGTCATCGTCATGTTAGTATAAATTATTTTCCTCATATCGTATAAGCAGATTCGTCTGTTAATTTATAGTTCATTCATCGAGAAAAACATATGTAGATATAAATATTCGTTGTTAATTCTACCGAGTCCGCGATAGATTTATCTAAAGAATTCGGTATTAGTATTAGGACATTTCATAAGTGACACGTGATACGTAAAAAATGAAGATCGAGAAAAAGAGGGAAAGAAACATCACCGTAGAAAATAAGTGGAAATATGCATACACATTATGTTCGCGATTGATTAGTGTAAATTAATTATTTTTCACTTCGGTTTCTTCGAAGGGGCGAAAAAAAATTGATATGATATCCGCGTTACTTATCAGACAATTGAACATGATTTTTGAAATAACGGTATAGTACGTGTTTCAATCATTTACACGTGACATTCTTTTTCGTGTTACTCGAAGTGATTAAAGAATTCCGGTATACTGAATACTTAGCTCGCGTGAAAAAACAAATTCTAGAGACCTTTCTTCAATTACTGCGAGTGATATAACGTTCTAAATACAGAATTCGCCGTGAAATTTATTCGAAAATGAGAGCCGCTGTAAATATCATATAAACTGAGTGATTGATCGATTGTCGATTAATGCATCAGGTCAGTTCATAAATTTGTGTATATTCTTGAGCAAGATTTTCAAGCAATACAAATGAAACACATTTTACTATTTTAATCGGCGATAAACTAATCACTTGTGTGTACCACTTCAAAACAAGATACGATTTGTTTGAAAGCGTATTGTTTTACGACATGTGTCATAGTCAATCATACGTATGACGTTAATACACGCGAATCTATGGCTTGACCTGATGGAATACAATTTTAGGACGAAAGTACGTGTATTTTTGTACTTTGCGACTGAATAACGCGCATTTTTTTACCTTTTACGTGATCGAATTTTATGGTAAACATTTGATAAATGGACACTTCCATTGAACCACACACACACACATATATATATATATTGTAAATAATTTTGTGTAAAAAGAAAAGAGACATATCAATGATTTACTAAAGAATAACGCAATGTCGTTACAAGAAGATAAAAAGAAGGGATATACACCTAGAGAGGCCTGAAAACGGACGTGATTTGAAAATTTTTCGTTAAGAAAGTACAAACATAATTGTATTCCTAATTTTTTCTATTAATTTAATCTTATCTTTGGCTATGATAATTTTTTTATGTAAAAATATTAAGGATATATTGTAGTTATAGTTACAGTGGTTTGCGATGCCCGTTACAGCGTAAACAAATTTTACGTGAAAGCAAAAAAAAAAGCAAACTACTTTCGTGAAGTATTGTGAACAATTTCTGTTTCTGACGTTGCCGATTTAAAAAAAAAAGGTTGATTTTTTAAAATATCTCAGCTTTTCGAAATAAAAATTTCAATTTTTCTATATGAAATCGTTCCCTTTTTCTGTGCAATAAAAAAGAAACTACGAATCGTATAAAAAATTCGCCACGTGAGAAACTGACGTCTCAAACATTGAAAATACGTAAAAAGCACACCTATTTAAATAGGTGTATGTATATCTCTCCTTAAGTTCAAGAAACTTTATGAGAAGATAAGCTAACAATAACTACCCAATCGTACACGAGAAATAATTTTTATCTGGTGTCAATTATATTGAATTTCTGCATATGTTTTAACGCGTGTTTTTATTAAATTCGAGTCAGTTCCCGCTATCTCTCGATAAGAATACAACATACACTACCGGTCAAAAGTATCCGGACACTTCCTTATTCTCTACAAAATGTAGTTTAAGTTAGTAGAAAAAGTATTTACACTCATTTCAGCTTTTGTAATTGTTATTATTATGTATACTAAAGTATCGTAGTACACTAAAATTTATTTTTATGTACAAATTACGTAATAAAAATGCAATAATATAATTCCTGTTTTATAAAGACGAAACCTAATGGAACGATTTCGTTGTTTGAGAAGGTCCGGAGATTTAGTTTATTTCATTTCTATGGTACAGATCGATTTCAGAGAGTTCTCCGATACCTATTAAGCGTTGATAAACCGTCGATGATGTGCTTACGCTCTCTCGATAGGGTTAAGAATGGAGCTAACGCTATGCAGTCACCTGCTTTGCTTTAGTTCGTCTGGTTGCTCTTCCTATGTTCAGTTGTGAATTTGAAACGAGAATTATCGTTAGAAACGATAACTCTTGCGGAACAAGGACATTCAATTCGAGAAATTGCTTTAAGGAAGAAAATTTCTGAAGTCGACAGTGCGTGACACTATCAAGTGTCCGAATATTTTGAGCGGTAGTGTACATATATATTTTGGGGGAAGTTCGGCTAGCACCATGGACAGATGAATATTTCGATTATTCCAACACATTTCCCAGTTAGTTTTAGATCGATTGGCAAGCGGTAGGTACTGATATTACGCTTAATTTTGTTACGATTGAAAGCGGTGTTCACAACCGAAAGTGGTTAACTCTACTTTTTTGAATTTTTTGTTAAATTTTATAATTAATAATTATGCTTAACACCACTAAATGACAAAAATTTTTATGGCCGTTGAATAATAAATAATTGATTTCAGAAGCCAATGTGATTAACTCCATACTTTAAACTAGATCGTTGTAATAGTGTCATTCAACCGCTTATAAGAATTTAGCTAATTGTAAGTAATTTTTTAATGCAACAGTATAAAAAATATTAACATTTATATTTGATGTACATATATAATTTCATCAATTTTCTCGACTTTTTATTTCGTGGAGTTAACCGATTTGGCAAATGAGCAGCTCGTGTATCGATCCTTTCGCTATAGACTGTAATCTTATAGCATGATTAAAAACACTGAACCACCTTTATATCGAAATTATTTTAATAAATCGTCTTAAATAATGCTACGTGAAAATTAAACTACAGCTTCAGAAATGGATATTATTATGCGTATAAACGAAAACTAACCATGTTCTTTGTTCCTGTGTCGCGTATATGCACTCTTCGATTTTCCATTGCCGTAGCGAAAAGGTTGATATCGAGCAGTGTACATTCGTGTCGGAACGTTTCAGTGTGAAATAGGAGGGGATACCCCTAAAAGAAGAGAAAAATTCCATGAAGGAAGACAAAGGGTATCTCAACAGTAAATACATATCAGCATTCTGTCAGAATTTTCTGTTATTCTTAGAATGAATCGTCTGTTGCATTTGACGAAAAAAGTCTCGTACTCGCATGTGTGTCCAGTGTGGAGCGTCAAAACAATTTTCGAGAAATGTCTGTCAATTAAATGTTCGGTAATTTTACACTTCTTTAATAGAACGGAAACCCCACGAAACTTGTAACCCCTATTTCTGATCGCGAAATTAATTAGAAAGAGTATCGGTACACTAATTATTTATTCGTAGGTCTTAAGGTTTGTCGTAAACACAAAATTGGATTTACGATGTGAAACACTTCTATTTTTTTGGAAGTTAGATTCATTGTCTATTGTCCTGGGAAAAGGATAAATATTTTTATAGGCATCGCATGATTGTACGCTAAATAAAACCAATTTTAAATCATTTTTGAAAAAATTCGGATATTGGATTTTTATGTTTATTTATTCTTTTCAATATTATATTTTTAACTGTTTTAGTTATATCTTACTTACAGAAAATCTAATGTTACTCTTATGATAATCTAGTCTGTTCCGGTACTTTTATTCGTCACTACATACTATGTATCTCTGCTCCATAGAGAGAAAAACGAAGAAAAGAGATATAATACACACTCTGAGCAGTCAATAATTAGGCTTATAAGTAAAGTGAACAGGAAACGATATGTTCACTAGGCACAAAGTAAATTATCAGATTTTCGAACTGTATTGAGCCACTTTATTGAATGTCCACTTATACGATTTAGAAAACGATATTCTCACCATGTATAAAGGTCTTTCTGAATTACACATAAGTTGAAGGTATTGATAAACGATTATTCACACGAATTCAATTCCGTTTTATTTTTCAGGTATGATAAATTAAATAAAAATGAGGGTTATGTCGTGTTATTTTCGACGTTTCGTAATAACAGCATTATTTGTCATACTGCTGTTCTGTGTTGTTCAAATTTTTCGATCAGAATTGGGCTTCAATGACAATGATTTGTTGAATCTGGATAAACTGTGAGCAAGTTTTTAATTCCAGGAATATACAACATTGTGCCATCTCTAATTGTGATAATTTGTGCCATTTCAGGATACGCATGTCTCAATTAATTAAGAACACTGAGCAATCTCATATTATGTACATATAACTTTATTAAAAATACTCTATGTTAAATATAGGAAGATAAAAAGGTATATGTGTTATAGGAAAGGAGTTGTAGCTTGTAAGCTACCTAAATTAGATGTTTCTAATCCAGAAATTACAAAGTTTATACATGATATCCCTCCCTTGTCATGTACACCAGAAGATTGGGTTATTCTTCATGGTTCAAGACTAGTTATTAGCAATAAAGCAAAGAAAAAATATGGACCTATGACTTGTTTCTACAGTGGTAAGTTGTATAAAAGTTACAGTGTCACAATATTATATTAAAATTATTGTGTCTGATTATTTCAATTATAACTGTAGAAATTCTGAGAGATGATGATTACACTATATCATTCACAACCCCTGTTGAATCTGATGATTCCTATGTTCTAAAGTACAGTGATTTTGTTGATGTAAAGTGTGAATCAAAAACTGGAAAGGAGTAAGTGAAATGTGTGAATAAGAATAATCAGTTTTTATCTAAAAATAATTAATTATTATCTTAAAAATATCTTAGATGGCACAGTATTATGGCTGGAGTGAGAGATGATCCTGAAGTGAAAGAAACAAATAAATGGGAAAATGTTGGAAATCAAGCCCTTAAGCTAAATATACTTATGTTTGGTTTTGATTCTCTGTCAAGAAATACATTTATACGCAAATTACCAAAGACATATCAATACTTAAAAGAATATTTAGAAGCTTTAATTTTAGAAGGGTATAATATAGTAGGTGATGGGACACCACAAGCACTCATTCCTATTCTTACTGGGAAAATTGAACTTGAACTTCCAGATACTAGAAAACGCATGGGTTCAAAAGCAAAATATGTTAATGTATATCCTATGATATGGAATGAATACAAAAAAAATGGCTACATAACAGGATTCATGGAAGATGTCCATCACATTGGGACTTTCACATATCGTCTGAAAGGTTTCAAAGAACAGCCAACTGATCACTATATGAGAACATTTTATTTAGCTGCAACACCATATTTTCGATACTACAACAAATTTTGCATTGGAAGCATTCCAAGACACATGGTATATTTTGAACTCTCATTAATATTCATTATATTATAATTACAGGACCATACATTATTATTCTTGTTGTAGACAATGTTGAATTACATCAAAGAAATTTTTAATGTATACAAACATCAACCAAAGTTTTTATTTGGATTTCATGGGGAGCTTTCACACGATTCCTATAATGATATAGGAGTAGTTGATAATGATTTACATAATTGGATTAAAGACTTACATGAATTTGGTCACCTAAATAACACAGTGTTGATATTGATGAGTGATCATGGGCACAGGTTTATGTCTACATAAGTAATATGCAAAACATGATTTTTTAGTAGAATTATATACAAACTGACACTACCAATTTCATTTCACAGGTTTGCAGAAATTCGCAATACTCTACAAGGAAAACAAGAGGAAAGGCTGCCATTTTTTTCCTTTGTCTTCCCCCCTTGGTTTAAAAAAGTTCACCCAGAAGCATATGCAAACTTTGTACATAATACACATTATTTAACAACACCGTTTGACGTGCATAAAACGTTAGAAAATATATTGAATTTTCAAACACCAAAAGATGGGGATCGTTATCAAAGAGCCATTAGTTTATTCGATAAGGTAAGTGTATTACAGACACATGCTGAAAGTATTTCGAATGTAAATGTGTACATATATGTAATGTGATAAAATACTGATAATTCGCAGAATTTAGAGTTCGCTACAATTATTCAAGGCTAATACCGTTTAACTATCTTATCATAGTAACGATAACAAAATTCAAACAATGACGCCTTTTTATGTATATCAACCTTAAACATGTTCAACAAAAGTATATGATTTTGTTTATTAGTTTTTGTTAAATAATGGTTCCGATTATATTTAGAAATGAATGAATAATCACATTGCGTAACTATACAGATACCAATAGACAGAACGTGCGGGAATGCATTTATAGAACCGCATTGGTGCGCTTGCCTTAGTTGGCAAGAGATCGCAATCGACGATGATAAAACTATTGCCGCTGCCAAATATTTGATTCAATTTCTTAACACATATACGGAAGGCCATCACGACATATGTGAACAATTAAAATTAAAAGAAATATTGTGGGCCGCTAAACTCATACCTAATAAAGGTATTGTAAATGATTCTGTTTAGAGTTTATCACAGATTGCGATCAATAATATAAAATTACAGGTTTATTGGAATTCCAAAAATCCGGAGATCAAGATGGTTTCGTTGGAGATTTTAGTGCCAAAACAAAATTAACTACTGAAATTTATCAGTTGAAAGTAAGAACAGAACCAGGAGACGGATTATTTGAAGTCAGTATTACTTATGATATAAAGAAGAATACTTTTTCGACGAAAGTAAGTTCGCCGCTTAAACTTTGCAAAGTGGACATATAACAAAAATGCAAATATACGAAACTCTTTATGTTAGATTTCAGATATTAGTAGAATCAACATGTATGGATCTCAAGCAAGATGTGTGGAGAACTCTTTATATCACTTACGAAAATATTGCTATTGTAAAGATTAAACAATTAGTGTTTAATGAGTGTATTTGAAATGATAGTCAAACTAAATCTTAAGAAAACATAATGAACAAATTTACAAGACAGAAGAGTTGTGATTATCTTCAGTTAATAATCATTTTTCTAGTCTTTGCAAACTTAACGAAATTATAAGACACCTGTAATATAAAAATATAATAACTTTTAAATCTACATAGATTCCAACAAAAAAAGTAACAACAATTAGTTCTTATAAGTAAGATCTTATTTTATACTATGCTTAACCACAGTACAAAAAAAGTTAATTATAGATAAGGTGCCTTATTATTAAAAAACATTTTTATTTATACAATATCTGTTAGGGCTTCATATGTGCGGTTTATGGCACGACCGAAATATACAGTTATTTTTAAGTTTCGGATTCTTTCTTTTATTACTTGCATGTGTCAACGTTCAGTTTACCAAGTAAGGCAAATTATTTTGTTACCTTTTAGAACATTCGTGTCTTTTCGCGCTCAATAGCTTAAGGACATGCCATAAGCCGTGAGTTCCGAAGGGTACATTCTTTTTGTAACGGTTCGCAAACCGACGAGTTACTCGACGGAAGTCCCGTACGCTTGCCCATTTCGCCCATCTCCATCGTAACAGTCTCCCACCCTTCCAAGAAAAAGCGCACTTAGGGCACACTGAAAGGGCTTTGGCGACATGATTAGACACGTTGATTGGTAACTGAAATTTGTGCATCATCAACCAATCAATGTATATTTAGAAAAAAGCATTGAAAGGAGAGTCAGACGCGATGTTAAAAGTTCAGATTGAAAAGTGACTCGCGGAAGAACAGACCTGTAGAAATTATAGTTTTACTAGGAGCACACTGCTCAAACATAGTCCAGAATCATAGTCTAATTTATAGTAAAAATAAATCGAATTCTAGTCCTAAATACAATACTATCTCTCACATTGTCGCTCAGATCAAAAGAACCGAGGGGCGACAGTTTGGGTATAGAAGATACGGTTTTCGAGGATCGCAGCCCGCCTTTGTAGTTTGCCGAACGAAGAAAAGGATGAAACGAGGGTCGAGGCAATCGAGCGATTTAAACACCAACGTTTTTATTTTTAACTTTTTCTGTATGAAAAATTTATTAACATATTGAAGTCACTTTCATCAGAAAAACCTCACCAATAAGTCCAAAAAAAATTTCAGATAAAAACAAAGTATAATTTAAAAAGTTGGTGTTTAAATCGCTTGGTTGTCTCGACTCTTGTTTTATCCTTCTCTTTTATTCAATGTCCTTATCTTCGTTTAGCAAACTACAAAGGTGGGCTGCTAGGCTTGAAAACAGTGTCCCTACTTCCCAAACTGTCCTGTTTAGGTTTAGTATGTATTATTTAGTCAGCACACCACGTGCAAGCACAACCGGACTCGAAAAATTAGTTAAATTAGTTACGGGTTTAATAATATCAGTTTTGATCTCATAAAATGGTATATACATAACAATATGTTTTACATAACAATAGTACCATTTAATCATTACATTATGTTCATTATAAAATATTTTTATTAATTGCATAATCAAAATGTTTATTTTTATGAAATATGAAGTTGCCAATTATTATTAATGATACTTTTAATAAATTAGAGAATGTTAAGTACACATTAAACATATAATGTAAATAATGCACAATATAGTGTAACTAATTCATGATTGGTTTTTTCAATGTTTATATAATAAATAACATTCTATTGATAGAACATGTTTGTAGTATGAATCTTTCCTTTTTACTCATTGTGAAAGACAATATACTCCAAACTGGTGCAAGAATGTTGTAACTTCATGAGTAACACTGTCAACTAATAAAAATCCCATATTTTGTTTGTGAGATGGATCATATGGAAAATATGCTTGTCCTCTATTATCTTTAGCCACTACTTGCAGAACTATAGTACTAATTGATAAATCCCCATCTTCACCTTTTTGCACCCTAAAATAATTAGATACATTTATTTATTGAATTTAAAAACATAATTGCGGAAGTTTAGTTCAACCTTATTAAATCTTTATAAATAGCTTTAGTCACTTCTAAATATGAATCTAAAAGATCTTCATATTGACAAAGCATTCCTCCAAGAACAAGCATTTGGAAAATGTTAAATATAAACTCTTCACGTTCATCTTTTGAATATAAATTATACTCTGAACATTCTTCATCTAATAGCATCTAGAAAAATTAAACTACAAATAAGCTTGTACTAGTAACAAACTAATTGCAATACAAATTCATACTCCTCTAAGATTATCAGAAATTAAGAAATTTTCTATTTCCATGTCATATCTTTTGCCAATAATCCCAGACCCATGTACAATTCCATTCTTTGGATTTTTTAATTTATTAAAAAAGGACATGTTCAAAACAGAACAAGGAATAGGCTTTATTTCTACAGTTGTTGCTGTTATACCTATTAATTATAAGAAAAAGTAGTAACATGTAATGCTGTGCTACAGAAAAATGTCTGCTACCTTGTTTTACCCAATGATTTCTTTGCTTTGTTAAAAGTTCTTTTGCTATAATACTATCTTTAAAGAAAACCTAGGATAATCAAAAAGTAATAAAGTAGTATTATAATAATTAATTCCCATTATATTTAAATTATATACTAATAGACTAACTTCAGCTAAATGATATTTGTGATATTGTTGGAAAGTTTCATTAAACGAAAAATGTTGTATAACAAAATTTCCTTTTATACCCCTGTAAAATTAGAAAAATTTTGTTACAACATTTAATAATGGAACTACAAATTTCACGCATGTACATACGTAAATTGATAAAAGATATTAATATTGTTACCATTTGGAAAGAAATTCCTGCGTTCTTTTATCGTTTATTCCGATGTAATTTTTTTGTACAAGAGGCACAAATGTATATCTAGGTTCAATTTCCATTTTTCGAGTGAAATTGTTATTACTATGGGGATAAAGAAGTGGAATATATGTATATACATACAGGGTGTCCCGTAAAGAGTGTAACTCCCGGAAATGGGAGGTTGCTGGGGTGATTCTGATCACATTTGTCCTTGACCGAAATGTTGTTTGAAGCTTCGTTTTTCAATTATTAACGAAAAACACTGGCCACTCACAGCGCCCGTAGAGCCCGCGCTCAGGGACGAACGAAGAGAGATTCACCCGCGCGCTATCGCAAATGACGTGTACGCGTGACTTTTCGATTATCGCACGCTGTCAAAAAAATTTGACTTTGCACCGCTATTTTTATAAGGTTTAGAAAATTGGTTTTTTGTCGTCATTCCGACGTTTGTATAAATTTTTGAAAAAACTGCAATTAGTCGGAATCGCGAAGAAAATAGCGAAGGTCGTTTTTATAACTTTTTTATTTGAGCTCGTAATGAAAATCTAAAAAATACGTCTTGTAGATCTATGTGAATTGTACACACGCTGAAAATTTCATCCCTGTTCGCCCCTGAGCGCGGACTCTACGGGTGCTGTGAGTGGGCCAGTGTTTTTCGTTAATAATTCAACAACGAAGTTTCAAATAACATTTTGGTCAAGGAAAAATGTGATCAGAGTCATCCCAGCAACCCCCCATTTCCGGGAGTTACACTCTTTACGGGACACCCTGTGTAATAATAACTTACATATATAGCAATTATTATGTTAATTGTACAACTTATAAATTTGTGATATTGTATAAATTAATTAAAAACATTATAACAAATGTATCTTTAAGCAGAAATATAAATGAAATATGTATGTAAACATGAAATGGTATGTCGAAGACTTATATAAATTATACAGTTTTATATATAAAGTTACAAATTTTCATTGTTAAAAAAATGTGTACATAATATTTTATGAATATTGATTTCGGCATCGATGAAAATGTCTATATGGTGACGTATTAAACAAATATTTAGATAAGTTTCAAAGGCTCCGGGAAACCATGGCGCCGATTCAACGTCAACGTCAGCTTTTCATTTCAAAAAAAGAACTCAAAAAGTTGAATGGCAGAAGATTTTCAAAGTAGAAATAATATTCTCTTTTTTCTCATTAATAAGAAGTGAAATACAAAATTTGTTTTATTATTCCATTTTTATACAATGTACACATATTGTGTGCCGGTTAACCTCCTTCTTTACAAATTTAACATTAAATTATTTAATAAGAAATTAGGGATATTTTGATGATATTATTTTATAAAATTTGTGCAATTATCAATGGTGTTTATTTTATTTCTATATTTAGGTTGTCATTAATGTATTATTTATAATGATGAAAATGTCAATTAAAAAGTAAACATGTATAAAATTGAACACAGATCGAAAGTAAAATTAAGAATATGTGTTTCAGACCAGAAGAATCCTCTGATATTGGTCTTATTTATCCTGCTGTGGATACAGCATTTAAATTGCTTTTGTCAGTTAGATTTTGTTCTGCTATATGGAGTCACATAACAGATTGTGATGAAACCTATAATTATTGGGAACCAGTAAGGAATAGTTTTTAAGGATTTCAGCAATTTTTAATGATTTGTATAAATTTCTATGTTTGTACTGTTACTTTATTTAAATAAATGTGCTATTTATTTTACAAGAATGTTTTATTTTGCCATTACATTTTGTGTCTTTCTTAGAGTCACTATTTGCTTTATGGTACCGGTCAACAAACATGGGAATATAGTCCACAATATGCATTAAGATCATATATGTACTTATTAATTCATATAGTACCAGCAAAACTTTATCATTACTTACTAGAACCAAATCCTGTTCTAGTCTTCTATTTTGTAAGATGTCTATTGTCTGTGGGTTGTGCATTATCTGAAGTATACTTTTATATGTATGTATTTTTTGTGTTATATTATAGGCACATTGGAAATAAATTTCATCGCAAAATACTGACCAGATTTTATTATATTTCTTAATAGAAATGTGTCCAGAGAATTTGGAATACATATTGGGAGATTGACATTAGTATTTCTTATATTCAGTTCTGGCATGTATATTGCCAGTGCTGCATTTTTACCATCATCTTTTTCAATGTATGTGTATAAAACTTATAGTACTTATTTAAGTACAGAAATGATAACAATTTAATTCTATGTGTTCTCTGTACAGGTATTTAAGTACTGTTGCTACAGCAGCCTGGTATGGCCGTCAATATGAATTAGCAATTTTTGCTACAGCAATATCTGCTTTATTAGGGTGGCCATTTGCTGCATTACTTGGGTACTTTATTATAAAGTTTCATTTAAAATGTTAAAACTGTTAAAATATAAAATTGTTACAAACCTTTTTTATATTATTTACAGATTGCCAATTGCAATGGAAATGTTAATACATAAACAAGAGTGGAGTAAATTTATAAAATGGGTAATTCTATCTGGTACTGTTATTTTAGTACCAATGGTATGGATTGATTCAATGTATTATGGTAAATTAGTGATAGCACCACTGAACATTGTAATGTACAATGTTTTTACTAATCATGGACCAAATATCTATGGAACAGAACCTTTCAGTTATTATATTTATAATGGATTTTTAAACTTCAATTTCGTTTTTATTGGCGCACTTTGGGCTCCATTAGGATTGGTAATACTCATGAGATTCATAATGCTTAAACCTTCACATCTATTAATACTTTAATCAGCCTTATAGCTTTTAGTGTGGCTAATTGTACCTGTTGGACCAAGAGATCGTCTTTGTTTATCTTACTGGTATTCGTTGGCACCACTATATCTTTGGTTTTTAGTGTTTTTCTTGCAACCTCATAAGGTAAATTAAGTAATATTGTTTAAACAGTAAGATTTAAATATATATATATATATAAATATCTTTAACACAGGAAGAGCGATTTTTATTTCCTGTATATCCAATGATTTGTTTAACTGGAGGCATAGCTATAGACACCATCCAAAAACTATATTTGTTTATTAGGACAAAGCTTAGTTCTTTACATATTGCTTATCATTATTTGCAATATACTGTTCATATTACATTCTTTGCTATCTTGATATGTGGTCTTCTTGGAATATCAAGATCATTAGCAATATACAAAGGTAAGAAGTTTATATATTTTAAATTACTTTAATCAACGTAAAATATAACTTTTCGAAATCCTATATTAGGTTATTATGCACCAATGGAAGTAATGATTGATGCTAATAAGGTTGAATTAGAAGGAGAAATATCTAAGGACATTAATATTAATTTTTGCATTGGTAAAGAATGGCATCGATTTCCGAGTAGCTTTTTCTTTACATCGAATAAGTAAGTAATGTTTTTTTTTTTTTTTAAGAATTTTACTTAATACAATTTTTGCTTTTTTAAACGCAAAATGCGATATTGACTTCAGTTGGAAACTTCAATATCTAAAATCAGAATTTAAGGGTCAATTACCTCAACCATATTTAGATCATGAAAATGCAACTAGTATTATACAACCTCATTTTAATGATATGAATAGAGAAGAACCTACACGCTACGTAAGTTGTTATTTATAAAGTAGTGAAAAAAATGAACCAATATAAAATTCATATATTATTCGCTCTAATCAATAAAACTTGCTATTATAGTTTAGTTTAGACAAGTGCCATTTTGTATTAGATCTGGATATTGGGACTGAGACAGACTTAGAACCAAATTATTCTCGATTAACTGACAACTTTACGATAATAAAATCGTCTAAATTTTTAAATTCTGCAAAGTGAGTGAATTACATGTTTAAATTTTACTATATTATTTGTAATTTAATGCATTAAACTAATGTTATGTTAAATTTATTATTTATCTTTCAGATCACACCAATTTTTCAGAGCGTTTTATATACCTTTTGTGTCATATAAATTTTGTACATATGGTTCATATAATTTATTACAAAATATTAAAGTTAAATCGATTCCCCTTTTGTCAACGGGAAAAATTCCAAAATCATCCTGAATAAAATTTCTGAAATATGTGTATGATTTTAATAAACAGGGTCTTTGTCAGGGAAATTATAATGGTTGATATTGTATTTCAAATAAATGTCTGTATTTCGTAAGAAAAATATAAACAATGGTTTTGAAAAGAAAGATTAAAAATCTAAAAGAATTTAAAACAATCACGAATTCCGTACATTGTTTTCAATTCCACCAAAATTTAAATCGTTCGTATTAAAGTTCTTAATCGGTCGGTATTTTTTGTTTTAAAAAATAGTTATTGATATGTATATCAATATATACACTTATAATCAAGATAATATATTAAGTGTTTTTAAAATAGTACATAATTTTATGCGATTAATATGACTGAAATTATTGGGTAATACAAATATGCTAAATAATCTTCATACTAGTCCATATATATATATGTAATACCATTAAAATAAAAATATTGTTTTTTTTATTAGATAAGTAATATTTGATAGCAATATTTGCATATTGTTAGATGTTATTAATTTTGTAATGAACAAATTTTTGTACATATATATTGAGATTATGGGTATATTTGTGAAAATGCAATGTAATTAATTTTAATTGCAAATATATTTTATAAATACTCCGATAGAAATATTACTATAATTAATTTTCCAATATTGAACTTGTATAATATTGTAGTTTTTATTAAAAATTTGTATAAAATTTTGTACTTGGTTATCATGATATGTAACAATACAATAAAGCAATATACGACATTCGTATCTTTATACGATATATGTCATTGCCCTATTATCAGTTGAAGTTTTATAGTTGTCGAGTCATTTTGTCATTATATATGGCTGCAAAAAATACCATACCAATCTGTTATTGTATACCAGAGTGAACTATGCATAAAAAGAATCTCGAAGTTTTAGAATTCATTTGCAATTAATTAGAAACATTACAGCTTCGAAAAATTTTTTACAATTAACTTATGGAAATCATTGAAGTAGGTTGTCTAATTCTCTTAACTTGGGCATGATGAAGCATTCTACACTGTTCTCGATTAAAATCAAATTTTTAGCGCCATGTATGCATACTTAACAGCGCTTCTAGCTGTCCAATGTTAATAGCCATTTTTAAATCAACGTGATAAGTTTTGGGTAAACAAGGATTTAATTCATGCGCGTTCATGCGCTTCCTGGAAACGAGAAAATTTCTTTTCAGTACGTACGTGACATCCAGAAAAGAGTATTTAAATAATGATAAAATTATCGTTTATCGTGATGTAGTTCTTATACCGTCTGTTAGTTGTGGAAGCATCTACGCGGTCTGAAGTATAGTAACTTGGTAAAGTTAATGTAAAATGGAAACGGTGGAAATCGACGATGAACGAACTAATTCTCATTCTATAAAATTACCTACTGCAGTCGAAGTGTTTGCAAATTTGGAAAATGCTCAGAAATTTGCGATTGATATCGGTACGTATTGCGTTGCATATTTTATCAGCATACGTTAAAAGCTTTTATTTATGTATAAATGCAGTTCTTACAAGGTTATCTTTCAAAGGTTTTTTAAAGAATGCAAGTACGTTTTTTGTACCATTTAAAAATTGAACATGAACAGTTATAATCTTCTAATAATGTAGCTTAAGGTTGCTTTGGTTTTAATTTAATTTCAGGCTTATCTTTGACAAAAATAGCTTATTATTCAACAGTTAATTACCGTAAAGCTTTGTATGAGGATACTGGCTTAGGAAATAGTGGAGAACGTGCATACAAAGTACATGAAGGAAATAGACTTCATTTTGTTAAGTTTGAAACAAGATACATTGAAAATTGTTTGGATTTTGTGAAAGAGAATTTAGTAAATGTTGAAAGGTTTCATGGTAAAAGCATTAAAGTCACTGGTGGAGGAGCATACAAATATAATTCTTTACTACAGCAAAAATTAGGTTTAATGTAAGCATTTTAAAGTATAGGAATAATAGCTTTTTTATACTTCTATTCAATGATATCTATATAGACTAATATTAAATATTTAATATAGAAGTGAAAGCAATTAAAACATTTTTTTAGAGTTGACAAAGAAGATGAAATTGCATGTCTGATAAAAGGTTGTAATTTTTTATTGAAAAATATACCATGTGAAGCATTTGAATTTGAAAGACATGGAAATCCTGAATACAAATTTCAAAAGGCTGGTCCTAATATATTTCCATACCTGTTAGTGAATATTGGTAGTGGTGTCAGTATTCTTAAAGTAAGTCACAACCACATTGATTAAAGGTGTTCAAAGAATAGTCTCATTTATTTTTGAGGTTTATATAATATTTTCAGGTAGAGTCTGATAATGTATTTGAAAGGATTGGGGGTACAGCTACAGGAGGGGGAACATTTTGGGGATTAGGTTCTTTACTTACAAAAAGAAAGGTACCAGTGTTGATTTTTTTACACATGTAGCTATTGACTTTTATATTTATGTAACAATAAAATAAATGTTCACATTAAAAAAATTATTAAAAATACTCTATTAGGGCTTTGATGAATTACTGCAACTTGCAGAAAGAGGAGATCATCGTAATGTTGATATGTTAGTGAAAGATATTTATGGAGGTGATTATTCCTCCCAAGGTTTACCTGGAGAACTTATCGCATCTTCTTTTGGCAAGGCTACTTCTTCTAGTAATGAAGGTAAGGAAGCAAATAATATGTGAATTGATTAGATAAATTGTATCATCTCAAAGAATAAGTTATTTTACTTGTATCTTAGGGCAACCACAGTTTTCTGAGGCAGACATTGCAAAAAGTCTATTGTTTACTATAAGTAATGATATTGGACAAATAGCAAGTTTATATGCAACTGTGCATAAAGTGAAAAAGGTTTACTTTGGTGGTTATTTTCTACGCAATCATCCTATGTCAATGCATACTATGTCTTATTCCATCAAATATTGGTCTCATGTTAGTTTTAAAACCTTTTTTGTACTCTCATGTAACTATAATAAAAAGAAAAATTTTCTTCAGAAAAACCTCTTTTACAAATATTCATTGAATCCTATGTAGGATGAAGTAAAGCCCCTTTTCCTTCGCCATGAAGGCTATCTTGGTTCAATTGGGGCATTTTTGTATGGTGCTGAGCAACCTGATGAATGTAGTTGGTTAGAAAATTATGCAGGCTCTTCAGGATTTAAAAATTCAATATCTACTGATCTTGGGATGAAAGTTGATCAATTGGAAATTGATCAAGCAGAAAATGCTATAACATTCTGTCCACTTTTAAAAGATCCTGCATCTTATAATCCTGACACAACTGATCTTGCTGAAGATAAAGAGGCTAGGTAAGTTATGAGCTTAGGTGAGTGATGTATTTCTTTTTCTTGGCATACAAAAAATTTGTAATTATTTTAGAGATTATTGGCTTCAATGTTTTGAGGAATCAGTGGATAAATTTGTTGCTAGAGCTATTGACAGCCAGCCACATAGTCCAACTGCAAAAGATAGAGCAACAAAACTGAAGGAAAAATATGTTAACAGACTACATTATTTACATCTTGAACCATTGTAAGTTCATCATGATCACTAATAAAAATGTAATATTTTATAAGAGTCTGTTATAATTAACAATTTTACAATATAATATTATAGTGCTTATGGAACACTCACAGTGAGAATATTATTGGATACTATTGAACATTGTATGAAGGAATTCGATTTTCCTGACCCTTATTTACATGCAAGTTTTTTCTTCTAATATTCGCATTATATCGATAATATTGCAAGTGTTTTGTAAGGTATTTAATTGATTTTTATACTTTGTAATATTTGTGCCGTATACAGCAAAAGAAAAAAGAAAACGAAGAAGCTTTCAAGCATTTGAATAGTCGCATAATGACCATCGATAAATTGGAAGGAGCAGAGAAAATAAAAACTTTGATACTAGGAGTTCTGAGTGGTAATATGTTCGATTGGGGTGCGCAAGCTGTTGCAACTTTGATGGAAACGACAGATTTTGGTTTTGCCGAAGCACAAGAAAAAATACCGGGTACGCGAAAACCTTTCGTTCGTAATTGATAGAGTGGAATGAACAGTGTCAACAAAATTGATGTTTTGTTTATTAAATTTAGGTAGACCTTGGTTATACGATAACTTGGACGACTGGATAGAAAGATTAGAAACTGGATTACCGCATAAGTGTGCTGCTATTTTTGTCGACAATAGCGGGGTTGATATAGTATTGGGAATTTTACCTTTTGCACGGGATTTATTGCAGCGGGGAACGAAAGTTAGTTATATCACAAATGCTTTTTAGTTAAAAATCCAATTACAACAAAATAATTAAATTAAATTAATGATTACTTTAGGTTATACTGTGCGCTAATTCTATGCCAGCATTGAATGATGTCACGTATCCAGAATTGGTTATAACGTTACGAGATGCGGCAAAAGTATGTAAAGTAATTAAACATGCATTGAAAGAGAACCGTTTGATCGCTATGGAAACAGCTCAGGCTAGTCCCTGCCTTGATTTGAGGTAATTATCGCAATTAAGAGAATTATATGAATCTTTATACATTTTAACAAATTATTTCACGTTTAATAGCCGATTGAACTTAGATTTATGTCTTGCAATGGTGAAGCATAACGTCGATCTTATTGTTCTCGAGGGAATGGGCAGAACGCTTCATACGAATCTTCATGCTAAGTTAACTTGCGAATGTTTAAAGTTAGCAGTTATTAAAAATCGATGGTTGGCGCTTCGATTAGGTGGTGATATGTACGCCGTGATATGTAAATATGAACGGCCACCACTGAAAACGAAAATTTGTGATATAAAGTTAAAAAGGAAGGATTGTCCATCAGAGTGTGTGGAAAACGTAACGGATGTTTGTACATGCAATCTTAAAGAATAGATAATGAAAACGTAAGTAACCATATATTGGACTATGCATGTCTGAATGTGGCGAATTGAAAATTTTATCGCAATTCCAAGAACTGAAAAAAATGTACATTCAAGTATTGATTCATTTACATTTAAATACGTATAAAATTGATATAAAAAGAAATGAGCCGAGATTTTAAGTATATTTTACAGTTTCGTATGGAAATATATAATATTATAAGAAACTTAAAGACTTTTTAAGAAACTCATTGTTATTTGCTTCAGAGTAATTACGAATGAAGCTTGGTTGCCGAGAATATGTTTCTAACATCGCGTAATTAACCAAGCCTCGAAATCTGGCCTATCTCGTTACTCAAGTATGAAAACTTTAACGTTGACGTGAGAGATATTGATGAATAATGATCGACACCTAGTCAAAGACAATATAATTATTTTGCTCCGTATTTTGAAAAGGTTATCGTAGTTTAAAGGGAGTAATTTGCGACCAATTGTAACGATTGCAGACATGTATTATATAATACTGTACAGTACATCTTCTGTGATAATGTAACATTCAAGCAGAAAGTTACATATTCGTGTAAATTTAAAAGCCAAAAATTGATAGACAGTATAATAGAATAATATGTAAAGAAAGAAAAAAGAACTTAAAACTAGTACCTTCTGATGTTTGGCATTTTTGTACAGAGATCTATCGCTTCACGTCAAATCGGATATGTTTTTTTTTTCTCGTATTCTGTTTCGTTGTAAACATCCAGGAGAAACATTATTGACTGTCTAAGATTAACACGCAAGATATATGTCCTTAGAAGTGACCAATCTGTTAAGATATATTTCTCAGATTTTATAGAAAAGAGAAGGGAGAAGAAAAAAACGAATAAAAGACAATGATGATAAGATAAGCAGGACGAGAAATTGTTGAAACTTAAAATACAATATTAATATGGTTTTCAAGCTGAAGATTTCTATGTGAAGAATTTGTTAATACTCAATATATAAAATATACGCGTATGTGATATTTAACATACTTTGTAATCTGTAAATAAAACCACAACACTTTTTGAGACTTAATTGCAGTATTACTTGAACCGAAAAAGAAATCCTTTCAATAGCAATCTTCGTGTTTGTCGACCAAAATAAAAACAGAACGCTGCTCGAACGATCACTAAGTTTTGCTGTGTTACATATTTAAGATGTTGATCTTTTACTAATGTATGTACAATACCTCATCTTGCAAATCAAATGCAAATGTATTTTTTAACAATAAATTTCGTACATATATCCTTCGTTCTTTCTTCAATCCTACCAAAAGTCATACTTTTTAATCTCTTGTCCCTTCCTTCCTTTCTATATTTTTTTGTATTTTCTTTCATATGTATTAGTGAACCAGCAGTAGCCAGGGTGGGAAAAAATAGAAAAGAACCGGGAAAAAGCAGAAAAGGGCTTGTATGCATGCGGAACACGCTCTACGTTCATTTCTCCCAGCCACGTTCGACCACAACGTCCCAGTCTGTTCAGCTTTATTAAATTCCTGTTGTGCGATATCGTCCAGTGCTTCACTGTTCAGTTCGGTTCACGCATCGAACACGCTCCGATAAAATAATCCACTCAATTTTTCAACTCATCTACCCATCGAAACTTTTATTCAATCTCATACGTGTATTATCGCGAAAATTTCGTGATCGTCAATTTCTGTTTAGTCATACTGTAATCGTGTCGATAATAGATTATCATTAATATTGCAATCATGCAAATGTAACGCGCTTATCGTCCAGCAAAATTCAACACAGTCATATTGATGTGTCACCGTTACTAACGGAAAGTTTTTCTCAATCCTATTACGTACGTTTTTTACTTTTATCATAAAAAACACACATGACTGAAAGAATAGGAATGAAAAAATACAATATAGGAAAAAGTCATCGAAATAAGTGTACTCTGAGGACACCTATAAAGCTATAAAGGTATAAAGCTACCAGCAACAGGAGAGATGATAACATTTCAAACAAAGTAAAACGCTAAATTCGCCGGGGTTAATTTGAGAATCGCTTTTCTGTCTCCTCTTTCTCTCTCTTGAATAATTCGCAACTCTATTGTCCTCCACACCTTTTCATTTGAAATTCCGTCGAATTGACGATAGTTTCAGCTCCGAGCAGATCTACTCCTTTCATGCAGTTGTCTTATAATTGTTTGCCAAGGTGATGATACCTCTCCCTCCCTCTCTCTCTTGATATTGACACTGCTTTAATGGTACAACACGAGATCAGTTAACAATGAAGTAACGATCGCGACTACTTTACATCGACCGGAAGTCACTTCTATTCCTCTGCATCTTGAACGTTGGAGGCTAACTTAAATTTCAGAACTGTAGGAAAACTTATCCTAGCTTTCTTACGTCGATCTCTTACAGATCGTTGCCCTTACTTCTCCAACTCTAGAACCCTCTCGTTCGTGTCAGATTCTCGATATTTATACCGTTTTTGTCTCTACAGAGTGACAAGAAAATAGGTGGCCAAACTTTGGTATCGTATTCTACTGTGCCTAAGAATGAAAAAAGGTCGTAATTGGTAGCCTGGAAATACTGAAATACCGTATT